AGTCTTCAATGATTTTCCATTTCAAACGAATTACAATACAATATGCATGTTTATAGATATATACATTTCAGTGACTTCAATATGGCAAGTATATGAAGCTATTCATTTTCGGTTCAAATTTAATTCCTTACAGCAAAATAATTGTTTATCTGCCTGCATTGGCTTTGTGAGAAAGTCTGTGACGTTGAATTTAGTATCAATATGGTTAAATTTAACATTCTTAGATTTTACATGTTCACGTAAGAAGTGATACTTAATATCTATATGTTTCGTTCGCGGCTGATATAAGTTGTTTTCCGTAAGACAGATCGAGCCTCTATTATCACAATATATAGAGATTGTAACGGCTTTACTTCCCAGCAATTCACGTAACAGGTTACGAAGCCAAATTGCTTCTTGTGTTGCGGAGCCCATTGCCATGTATTCTGATTCAGTGGTTGAAATAGCAACAGTAGGCTGCTTCTTTGAATTCCACGATACAGGTCCTCCTTGTATGGTGAACATATAACCAGTCGTAGAACGTCTGTAATTTTCATCACCGGCCCAGACAGCGTCACAGAAACCTCTCAAATTAGATTCAGCATAAACGTCAACTTATAATGCAATGTACCTTTCAGATAACGCAAGATTCTTTTCACCGCAACCCAGTGACCATAGCCGAAGTTGTTGTTATAGCGGCTGACTGCTCCAACCGCAAACTATATATCAGGGCGTGATATTTGTGCGGCGAATAAAAGGCTTCCAACGGCCTCTTGATACGGTATGCCTGCGACCTTTTCAAACGCCGACTCGTCAGAAAAACACATCTCTTTGGTTAGGTGCTGATTAGCATCAGCTGGGGAGCTAACCGGATTACAATCCTGCATGTTAAATTTGGCCAAAATGTCTTGGATATATTGCGATTGGTCCATTGAGATAACGCCTTCATTCCAATCCCTTGTGATATTCATGCCAAGTAACAAAAACATCTTCAGTTTGTTTTTAAAAGTACAATTATTCGATAAAATTATCAAGTCGTCAACGTAAATGGCAACGATCAATAGGCTATTTTTATTTACTTTCTTGTACACACAAGCATCTGTCACACATGGTGAGAAACCAAACTCCTTAAGGGTTCGATGGTTCCATACACGGCTTGCCTGCTTCAGCCCGTAAAGCGATTCATGCAGAAGGCACACTTTCTCTGATCCATCAGAAAACATTTCAGGCTGCGTCATATATATTTCCTCTTCTAACTCCCCATGTAAAAACGCAGTGACCGTATCCATTTGATCAACATGTAAGTCGTATTTAGCGGCTAAAGCAAACAACACCCGAATTGATGTGTAGCGAACCACTGGAGAGAACGTTTCATTATAATCTACACCTTTACGTTGACCACATCCCCTTATTACAAGTCTATCCTTGAAGCGGTTAATGGCAACATCCGAACCATACTTTGTTTTAAAAACCCACCGACTTGAAATTGCCTTTCTCCCTGGTGGCAAATTAGTTAGTGTCCAGGTTCGATTCTCCTTCAGTGATCGCATTTCCGCATGCATAGCGTTGACCCAATGAGTAGAGTTCGGACATGACAATGCTTCCTTCACTGAACTGGGATCGCCTAACTGTGCGATCATCGCCAAGTGATTGCGACGATTAGCTGACCTCAACGTACGTCCTTCAACATTGACAGTTTCATCTACGCGTTGCGTTGGAATGTAGGTTTCATCGTTGGGATCATAGTTTGACACTAAGGTCTCATTATCGTCCTCCCCATCATCGTTATACACATTCGATTCGTCGGCGCTAGCAAAATCTTCAGCCTTCTCCGATTCACCACCAGAAAACGATTCCTCGTGGCTCTCATTGATTGCTTCAGTGTTGACATCCTTCACTTCATTGGTATTGTCATGCAAGTGAAAATACAAATGATTAGAATCGCTTGAAGTGCAATCAATTACCTCTGTTTCCATGAATACTACGTCGCGGCTGATGCAAATTTTTTTAGATTCTGGGTCAAACAGTCTATAGGCCTTGCTATTTTGCGCATAGCCCACCATAATGCATTCCTTCGATTTAGACTGGAATTTTCCGCGTTTCTGCTTTTCAATGTACATAAAGGCTTTGCATCCGAAAACTCGAATATTACTGACGTCTGGTTCTCGCAGTGACCAAATTTCTTCCGGAGTCTTGTCTATAAAACTGGCACAAGGTGAACGATTAATAACATAAGCTGCAACGATCTATTCATACGTTCCGCTGTTCTATTTTGCTGCGGTGAGTATGGTGCGCTTACTAGTGCATGGCGAATTCCGCATTCTCGTAAAAGAATTTCAAAAGTTTTTCCACAAAATTCGCCTCCGTTGTCCGTTCGGAAGATCTTAATTTTTTCATTTGTTTCATTCTCCACCATTACCTTAAATTCTTTAAATTTTTCGAATACGCTTGATTTACTTTTGATAGGGAATGGAAATACTTTTTTTGCTGAAGTCATCTAAAAACAATACAAAGTATTTCGCACCTCCGAAAGAGTCAAATGGCATTGGCCCACAAACGCCAGCGTGAATTAGCTCGAGCACACGTGATGTTCTAGATTCACTCGATTTGAACGGTAATCGCGATTGTTTACCTTTGATACATATGGTGCAGTGGTTTGGTATCACCTTTCCTATATTCAAACCCTTAACCATGTTTGCCTTTAACTTGTTCAAATACTGTTCGCAAATGTGGCCAAATCTGCGATGCCATATAAAAAGCTTTGTTGTTTGACAGGTTAAGGCTATATACATTATTATGTAAGTCTGCTTTACCGACAATGGATCCCATTTTGTCACGTATTATGCACGAATTCTCATTGAAAACAACTGTTTTGCCATTTTTCACCAACTGACTAACAGATAATAGATTCGCACAAAGGCTTGGCACATACAGTACGCTATTAATATTAGCTATTGCTTCACTTCCATCAATATCCAAATTCAGTTTAACCGTTCCAGAGCACTCAACATCAATATTGCTGCTATTTGCGACAGTTACACTCTCTCGCGGTGAGATTTTCTGCTTATGTATTAGATTACGATCATGGGTCATATGAGCTGATGCGCCAGAGTCTATGTACCAGTCATTTGTTTTTGTAACTCCAGCCGCTAGACATGTGTAACTAAATTCACGATTTTGCCCACCTTTTCTTTGATTTTTTCTTATTGCACAGTCGCGTGCAAAGTGACCTTCCTTTTGACATTCAAAACACTTAACGGGCGGCTTTTGCTTTTGATTTGATTTAACATATTTAGAGTACATTGCCATTTCACCATCACTGGATGCATACATGTCCTGAAGCAACTTAGTTTATGAAATCCGATGAAATTATTGTACTAGCACTTTCAATTGCCATGATCATTGGCTTGTATTCTTCTGACAAACCCGCCAATAACAATGTGCCAACCCATTCGTCACTAAGATCAAATTTAGCGTTTCTCAACTTGTGAGCAGTGGTTACTATTTTATCTACGTACTGCTCCATGTTATTACAGTCGACTAGCCTCGTGCTAATCAGCGTCCGTAGCAAACCAACGCGTCTTGATAGCCCGGAATCGTCGAAAGCCTTTTCCAAATTGTCCCAGACATCTTTGGCAGTCTTAGCATCTTGTACGTGCGATATATTCACTGGATCTACCAGCAGAATTAGCCTGGAACGCGCTATCAAGTCTTGACGTAGTTTTTTCAATTCGTCTTTTTCGTCCGATTCGCCCGTAACATAACTCCATAGTTGTTCAGATTCTAAATACGCGCGCACAACAAATTTCCATGTTGCGTAGTTGTGCCTTCCTCTTAACTTTTCGATATTATTTGCAAAATTATTGGCCGCCGTCTTTCTTACTCTGTTAAATGCGAGTCACCCGAAAGAAATCAGTAAGAATTTTCGTAATCAGTACTGATTCTGCCAAACGCGACGCAGAAACACACAAAATATTTCGTTTTGTGACAAAAACTTGATATATTTTATAAAATCCCTCTGCTATAGGCCCATAACCTGTAGTAAAAACGAAGTTTGAAGCAGGGAAATCAAAAACACGTCTTGTCGTTTCAGCTTTACAAAAGGAAAAGGAAAAGAGTTTTATTATAAAGAGTAGATAACTGCAAGCTA